ATGCCTTCGCCTGCAGATGGCTAAATCTATGAGAGCGTTTCTTTATGCTCGGCGATGACGGGCGTCATGGGGGGGGGGGGAAGGGGGGGGGTAATGACGTAACGCCCCCGCCCCCGCCGTGTGGCTCCGGCACCACAGCCGCGCCCGCGCGCACGACGCGACGAGTGACAAGCGACGACGACGACGACGCGAGCAGCATGTAGGTGGCGATTTCCCCCCCTGCGCCTGTGTACACCACAACGCTCGCGTGCACCACAGCGCGCGTGTACACCACAGCACCTGCGTACATCGCAACAACCGTGTGCAACGCAGCGTCTGTGTACACTGCAGTGCTTGCGTGCAATACAGCGCTGGTGTACATGTGCACACCGGAAGCAATCATGTGCAACGCAGCGCCTGTGTACACCACAATGCTTGCGTGCACCGCGGCGCCTGTGCACGCCACAGAGCCTGTCTACACCACAGCATCCGCGCGCAACGCAGCGCTATTGTACACCACGCTGCCTGCGTGCATAGGACAGGTGGAAGGAGCTTGCACGTGAGGATCTGCTGCGGAAGCGCCACGCCAGGAAAGTGCTGATAATCGGATGCGACGTTTTACCCTCTTCCCTCCTCCTCCTCCTTCTCCTCCTCCTCCTCCTCCTCCTCCTCCTCCTACCCCTCTTCCTCCTCCTCCTTTTTCTGTTCCTCCTCTTCCTCCTCCTCCTCCCCCTCCTCCTACTCCTCCTCCTTCTCCTTACCCCCTGTCGTGCGGGTTGGCGCTGCAGCACACGTGCGCAATTCAGCGTGCACCGCAGACTGTTCTATTGAATCGGCCCACTTGGTTCTCGGACGGCCAATTTAGCTAGAACCTCGTGGACACAGATAGGAAGAGTTACGGTAGCGCGGGCGAACTCGGAAGGACTCGTAGATTCCCTTGGCGTTCCCTTGTCCATAAGAATTACTTTCTGGCGTTTTCGGCGGAACCCACAAACGCTCCATTTTGCCATAATGATTCCTTCAAGCATTCTACGTACAACAATGGTGCTGTGTTGCACACGGCTGCTGTGGTGCACACAAGCGCCGTGGTGTACACAGGCACTGCAATGCACGCAGGCATTGTGGTGTACACTGCTGTGTTGCACACGGCTGATGTGGTGTACGCAGGCGCTTTGGCGTACACAAGAGCTGTTGCGCCCGCGCGCGCGGTGGCACAAACTGACACTGTGTTGCACGCGGCTGCATTGGTGTACATAAGCGGTGTGGTGTACACAAGCGCTGTGGTGCACGCAGGCACTGAGGTTTACACAGGCGTTGTGGTGCAGATCGCCACCTACATGCTGATGCCACTCGTCCTCCGTCATTCCTAAGCATTCCCAGGCGCCGCCGGCGCGAAGCGTGACGTCATCGACCCCCTCACCCCCCCAGATGATTGCCGTCATCGGCCCGGAATAAAGAAACAGGCTCCAGCCGCGTCCGCGCGCACGACGACGATGAGCGACGAGCGACGAGCGACGAGCCACGAGCGACCACGACGACGACGACGACGACGACGTCGACGACGACGACGACTGCGGACCAGACTCCTATGCGGATTCCTACGCGGACACCTGCGCGGATCCCAATACGCACGGCGGCAGTGCCCGGAGCACACTCGGGGGGGAACGTTACGTCATAGGGGGGGGGGCGGGGGCCATGACGCCCGTCATGCCCCAAGCAATAAAGAAATGGTCTCTATCTGGTTGTGGGGTCCTGATACCAATCTTGACCTCTGTTGGGGCTTAGCCCCGTCTATGGATCCTATTTGCCATGCTGGAGTCACTTTAGAAAGATCCTGTGCGGTATGATGGACGGCTACGGATGGAGTCCTTCGGGTCGACCATCCGTAATCCCACGACCCATGAACTTCGGAAAACATTCGTCCTGACCTCGGGCCAGTTCCGTAACAACCCTGCCGCCTGCCTTTGTCACCGAGTGATGTACAGCCCGCTGTTCGTTATACTTTACTGGAGCACGTACGCCGGTTGGAAATCTGTGGACCTTGCTCGTGCTCGAACGGCCCAAGGGGCCCAATGCAGTGTTACGGTGCGTCTCTCCACCTTGAGTGCACAGCTTGTTTAGGCAGGCACCTCCAAAAACAACTCCTCCACATCACCGCTTGGGACAAGCTCCAGGACGTCCGAATCCGAAAGAGCGAGCCAGAACCGCGAGAGCGGCCCCTGTGCATTTTTTCGTCGGCGGCGATGCGGGGGCAATCCGCACCAGCGCGGGGCGAATCGGGGCAACCGATCAGCAAATTGTCCAGCGTGCGAGTGAGAGAAGCGAAGACAAGCGGCCGCGCGAAGGGTGGAGGGGGAGGGAGGGACCTCTGTACACATCATGTCTCACTAGCGCGGAGGTCGACCACTCACAGCTCGCACGCCAAGCAGATCCTGCGCCAAGTACAGTCAGCCCGTATCATAAGGATGCGCGGTAAGGAGGCAAGGGCCTTAGAGACCCATGTGAACGTTTCGCGAGCGGGGCGCGGCCAGCGAAAGTGGCCAAGCATGGACCCACGAGGCAAGGATGCAGGGGTACACCCTCAGGAAAATTGCCCATCCTTGCTATGGGGGTTGACCTTAGTGGGCCCCGGAAACTGCAGGGCCGTTTTCTCACCGCTTCCCAAAAAATGTCCCTTGAAAATGGAAACGGCAAAAAAACGGCGACCGGAAACGGCCACAAAAACGGCTCCAGGAGCGGAACCGGAGCCGGAACCGGTCAAAACACGGCGACGGAACCGGTAAAAAAACGGCGTCGGAACCGGCAAAAAAACGGCAGGACGGGACCGGTGAGAAAACGGCCCTGCCGCTCCCCGGGCCCACTAAGGGGTTGACTGCATTCGCGAGATGCTACTGCACTGGCGCGGCGCTGCAACACCGCGGGCACCTAGCCCGCACGGCGGGGCGCCAGACCCTTCGCCGAGTCTGGACGGGCCGCGCTCGGCCGGCGGCGCCCTCCCGGGCGCCTGGCGAGCACCCCCCGCGAAGCGGCGCACGGGCGCGCGCGCGGGGCCGGCAGGGGTGCGGGGTGCTCCGTCGGGGAGCTGCTCCAGGCAGGACAGGGCTGGAGGGAGAGACGGGTACTCACGAGCGGCGGCGAACACACACACACACACACACATCTATATATACACACACATATACATATATACATATATATATACATAAATATATATATATATATATATATAATGTGTGTCCTCTTTTCTATCTTTTTTTCCCAAGGACTGATAGACTCAAGGCAGACGCGCGTCCAACCATGCATTGTCCGGAGGCTTTGCGGGCTGCGCCACGAGCTACAACGTGGCTGCGCCCGCTCCGCTGCGCCTCGCGACGGAGGGTCCTGTCGGCCTCGTCTAGGCGCGCTACTTCCGAGGCGCGTCTAGGCGGATATCATGTGTGTATGTGTATATATATATATGATATGATATGATATCCGCCGGACCCCTTGCGGGACCACCAGGCTGCGAGGGTGAGGATTTCAGCTCCCTGTTCCAGTTGCAGCTTCCACTGAACACTGTTACGGTCCTGCTTTCTGCTTCCTTACGTTCAATTGTTGCTGAACGCGCGAGGGGGGGGCGGCCGAAAAGCTTTCTGGTTAGCGACCCCGAATCGCGTTGTCTGAATCCCTGGGGGGGGGCGTGGGACACGTAAAAAACTTGATATCCGCGTCCCCGAGGCCATACACCCTTGTAAATTATACAATATCCGCTTCCCCGAAGCCGCACTCCCGTGTAAATTACACAATGATCGCGTCCCCGAAGCCAGAAACCGTTGTAAATTAAACGATATTCGCGCCCCCGAAACCATAAACCCGTTTACATTACACAATCTTCGCGTCCCCGATACCAACAATTATACAATATTCGCGTCCCCAGGGCCATAAGCCCTAGTAGATTACACCATGTTTGCGTCCCCGAGGCACACACCCTTAGCAAATTATGCAATATTCGCGTGCCCGAGGACATAAACCCTTGAACATTACACCATATTCGCGTCACCGAGGCCATAAATCATTGTGAATGAAACACGCCATAATACATTAAGCAATGTTCGCGTCCCCGAGGCCACATGCCATCGTAGATTACAAACATCTCGCGTAGCCGAAATCATACGCCATCGCAAATTGCGCGAGATTCGCGCCTCCGAAACCATACACCCGCCTAAATTACGGGATGCTCGCGCCCCCGAAGCCATAAACCTATACACATGAATCACGGTTCGCGTCCCCAGGGCCATAAACCCTTGCAAATTACACCATACTTGCGTCCCCAAAGGCCACAACCCTTTAACATTACACCATATTCGCGTCCCCGAGGCCCTAAACCCTTGTAAATTATACAATTGTGGCGCCCCCGAGGCCAAACAAACCCTTTTAATGTATACACTCTTCGCGCCCCCGAAGCCACAAACGATTGTAGATTACCTGATATTCGCGCCACCGAAGGCATAAACCATTGTAAATTAATACTGGCCCTCGCGTGAAGTCCCGACATTGCTTCACATCAACGTCCAGACATCCCAAACCGCTCTGGCAACTCCCATTCTAAGAGAGGGGGGGACGGCGGCATGGGTGCGAAGCCCTGACGGATATACATATATATACACATGTATACATATATAGAGATATACATACGTATAGCTATGTCTATGTGTGTACACACATATACACAAACACACACACACACATATATATATATACACATATATATATGTATATATATGTGTATCCGTATCCGAGCCCTCGCAGTCTGGATTCCAGGGCGCGGTCCCTCGAATGCGCGGTCGCACGGGCACGTTCCGCGAAGGGGCGTCCACGAGACAGCGCTCCGTGCCCGCGGGGTCGCGGCCCAGGGGCCCGGACCGCGAGGCGGGCGGATACGGACAGGCTTTTTACGCCCACGAGGTGCACGAGAGCACATCCGCTCTCGCCCCCGCGCGAGGGCGGGCCGGGGCGGAGGACGAGGAGGAGGAGGAGGAGGA